TAACTTGAAAAGGAAATTTTGATTTCATGGAGAGTCCGAACTTCTTCATAAAGTATCTCTAAGTTTATTTAAATTTCTTAATGTATATTGGACCAATAAATTCTGTTAAGAATTTCAAACTGTGCCTAACTTAGAAAAGTAATTCTCATGTTAGAAAGTTGAATTTTTCGTCAAATGATTTCCGCTCATAACTGAAGAATTCTTGCGACAGAGCATGTCAGAGACTGGAGGCTTTCCTTGTTCTTCGTCCCTGCGGCTGCGATACCCCATCTATCCAAATTTCTAGTTGAAAAGTTTAATACTTACCTATTTCGAAGAGATGTTTGATCTTAGCTTTGATTTATTTATTGATTTATTTTTGAAAAAACTAAATTTGCATATTCCAGTCTATAGGGCAGTCATCTTAAAGACCTCACGAATTTGAATTCCACGTCTGTGAGACTAACCTCATGGTTTAGTTTGAAATTGTGTCTTCCAAGGTTGCACTGAATTCCACGTTGGAATTTATCTTTTTTTTTTTTAAATTATTTTATTTGGAAGCGAGGAGTTCCCTCTGAAACATAATCTGGTTTTCCAATCATAATGATGTTCCTTCATGACTCCGTTGTAATTCAATTCCTTACGCCAAATGCGCCACGAGAAACAGATGGCAGAAGTGAGCCAAAAGGTGTTAAAGAAGGGTTTAAATGCATGAATAAAGTAGGTAGTAACTATGAATTTAATTAATTAATAATTGATGATTGTCGTTAAGCATAGGGCACTATGTAGGGGGCGTGTCATCCTGATAATGTAACAGCCATCACAAAATAATTATAGAGCTATATTATTATTACGTAGTCACGACCACACTAAGCTTTCTTCTTCCACTTTTTCTTTCGTCCACTAGTTTTTGGCCACAAAATCTTACAAAAAGAAAGATTTTCAGTCATGACTTTTCAGCACAAAATTGCCCATTTCATACTCACTTCTAATCTTAATCCTCTGGTTTTTCACGTGAGACCAGGCTTTTACGGTTCTACCTTATTGAATATTCAATAATACATGCAATTATGCATATTGACAGGTTCAACGGGGAAGGCAAACTTTAAAGAAAACTAGTTTACGTTCCCCTGATCTCTCATCCATAAAAAATCTTTTAATTAATCTGTGTTTCTAATAATATACTTTAACAGTCAATACCATATTTTTCATATGATGAAATATATGAAAATTTGTTTCTAATATACAAAAAATATATGTAGAATAGGGAATATATATATTTCAATCTCATATAGTTTTACTTAGTTTTTCTATTAATTTTTTGTATATGATTTAAATATGTATAATTAAAGACTTTTCATTTGTAAAGGTTTTAATTTAGTCCGTATAATTAAGAACCTGAAAATATCATAACCAGCTGTATAATGTCTTGATAGACCGAACGCACATGATATAGGATAATAAAAGTCAAAAGTATGAATAAGGGACACAAGATTAATCACATATTTTGTAAATATTTTTAAAAAAAATACTCCTATATAATAAGAGCAACTAGAGTGAAAATAATTTAAAGTCTAATGATTTAACTATAAAATTTTAAATTATAGAGACAAAAGCCAAAAAAAAAAAAACGATTAGTGGAGAGGAAAGTAAAGAAAAAGAATTTTAAGGATTAAGGAATTTAATGAAAATATTCTCCTATAATAAATGGGCTACATAATACCCCTATCTAACCTATTCCCTCATTCCTAATTATAAGAGATAATTAATTAAATTACATTATTAGAAGTGTTAATTAAAATTAGTTGAAGATAATAAATATGTGAAAAATATAGCTTTTTTTGGGCCAAAAATACATTCATTTATGTGAGAAAACGAATGTGTGAGAATTAAATGATGAGTAATATGGGTAATTAAATGGGAGCAAAATGAGAAATCAACAAAAAAATGGCATACTTTACAAAAATTCCATATACTCTTTAATGTAGGATCTAATTAGGGAGTTAATATTGGTTATATATATGTAAGATCTATTTCATATTTTTATCAATTTTTTCTCAAATTAATCCTATTAATCAATCCTATTCCCCTAATAATAATTAAGTACGAGAGGGGGAGAATAAATTAAGAAAGATGCTTAAAATGTTTTACATTATAGACTGGAGGAATATTATTTATCACAGATTTTTATTAATGTATTTTAAAATTTTTCATTTATTTTATTGTGTAATCTCATTATAAAGATTAACGTAACATACACTATAAATTTTTTTATTATAAAATAAATTTAATTACCAATAAAGGGGAGAGCATACGCAAGGGATAAAGAAGCCTAAATGAGGCTATGACCTTTGGGCTTGTTATTAGACACAAAATATCAGGAAAATGACATGACACTTGAACTTAAAAATGTCAAAATGGTCATTTAAATTTGCAAAATATCAATTTAGTCACAAGTGATCAATTTGACATTTATAAATTTACTGAAATTACTATATTGTTCTTTATTTTATTTATTGTTTTTTTAAAAAACCAAAACCCCCACTAGTCGGTCGGTTGCTGGAGCTCTAGTGCTGATAGTGGCGGTCATCACCAGAGCTCCAGCGACCGGCTGACAATGGGTCACCGGAGCTTTGGCGGCTAGAAACAATTTTTTTTAAATTTTTTTATAACTACTACTTTTTGAATTTTCTAGAAAACCTATTGTTAACTATTATACTGAACTTATTAATAACGTTACAAAAGTTGTTAATTATTATACTGAAGTTGTAAAAATTTGTTAACAAAAAAAGTAGTTGCTAAAATTGTAAAAATGTCATTTTTTTTGAATTTTTAAGAAAATCTATTATTAAATGTTATACTAAAGTTGTTAATAGAGTTACGGAACTTGTTAACGACATTATTGAAGTTGTAAAAATGCTACTTTTTAAATTTTCTGGAAAACATGTTGTTAACTGCTATACTGAATTTATTAATAGTATGACAAAAGTTACTAATCATTATATTGAAGTTATAAAAATTTTCAAAAAATTTGTTTCTGACCACTAGAGTTTCGGCAACCAATTGTGGCCAGTCACCGGAGCCAGTGGAGGCTTTGATTTTTTTAAAAATAATAAATAAAATGAAAGGCAATATGGTCATTTCAGTAAATTTATAAATATCAAATTGGTTATTTGTGACTAAATTGAAATTTTGTAAATTCAAGCAATTATTTTGGCATTTCCAAGTTTAAGTATCATTTTTGTGTTATTTTCCCTAAAAGATCGCAATATGACAATTTTAATAATTTTTAGAGTTAAGTAAAACAAATGAGGTTGCACCGACTCCATAAACCCTCGAATTTGGAGGGAGAATTCATTAAAATAGGAGAAAATCATCATAAATTTCATGTAAGAAAATTAAATATAATTTTTTGAATTTCATTTAATATTAACAAGTAACAAGGGATTTAATATATTTACACGTTAATTTTTCGTATTTATAAGTTGAGTTATATTTTTTTATCAATCAAACTTGTGAATATTAAATTCTTTAATATATATTAATATTAAATAGAATTTGGGAATCTATCTATATTTAATTTTTTTCCTGAGACTTGTAGGCAATTTTTCCTTAAAATTTTGCCCCTCAGTCCACTCTTCTAAATTAAATGAGGTCCTCTCCAAAATCCCTAATTAAACGTTATGTAAAAGTATACCATTTTCTCTCATAATAACAATTCTTAAAATGCATATTTTTGCAAATGAATCATGCTAGAAGGAATTTTTTTAGTAACATTTCTGAATTCTTCTCTAATATCTAAGTAACACTTGAATCAAGCTATAACTCCACCAAGCAAATTGAGATTAAAACATCAAAGAAAAATAACCTATATATATAGCTAGTAAATTCAATGGCAAATATGTGTGTGTGTGTGTGTATCTAGTACATTTCAAAACAAAAAAAAAAAAACTAAATTTGCAATTCCTACCCTCAAAACTGCGTCAGACCAATTCAACCAAGACAGATCCATAATTTATCTAATTTAATGTTGATAACAAAGCAGTTCATAGTTTCAAACCGATGGAAGAAATATGACTGGCTTGATTTCAAAACGGAAACAATGTAGACCACTTATAATAATCTCAATCACAAGCCTATAAATACACACGCGCGCACACACACACGAATATATATATAATGATGATTAATTAAAATCACATGTGTTGTGGCCATTATTATTTCTGTATTTTTTTTTGGGTCAAAATTATTATTTGTGCATTAAATTTCAACAGTTTGCCTTGTGCATCAGGTAATTTGGCGTTTCCCGTTGAAGAATATCGATTCAATTTCATTCATTCCGTAACTTCATTTTCTTAATTTTCGTCAAAACGCTAATCTCAATAATCTGGTCCAACCCCTAATTAAGACTCAAGCCTGCAACTATTACCATTATTCTCTGGTTTTATGTCCCACCCACAAATCAGTTGCTAGTTGCTACTCCATTAAAAGCTTATTAATTAATTCTACTCACCCTCTTTTTTTGTGATTTTACTATATCGCCCCTACCTGGGAAAGTGTTGGGAAAGATCCCCTCTAGCTGATTTCAAAGAAGCTTGGAATTGAACAATTTTGAGAAAGAATGGCCAAACGATTTATTATGTCATTAAAGAATAGTTTTGGGTTGTTTCCCGAGAGGAGTCAGAATTCTAACGCATCATTTGCCTCTTTTTTCTCATTTCATTAGTATTATCATTACTTTGATCGGCTAATCCTCATTAATAGATAATTACTACACTACACATGCATATATTTTTCTTTCTTTTCCTTTTTCTTTTTTTGGTTCTGATAATCAAAATCAACTATCCCACTAATAACTGATATAAATTCAACCCCATGACCAAACCCAACCGTAAAATCTGTGCTGAAATCCATCTCTTTCTTAAAACCCCTCAAACTTTCCCATTTCACCACTGCTATATTCAACTTCCCTCCCTTTGATCTCTCTCTCTCTCTCTCTCTCTCTCTCTGTGCTCTCTGCCATGGAAGATGACGATGGAGCATGCAACACAGGGCTGTCTCTTGGCCTGGGAATAGGAGGGTATGTGCCGAAGAAGAAGAAGCAGATCAGAGAGAACAATCAAGTGGCGGGTCGCTGGGACCTACCCTTTGAACTTGGTCCCAAAGGAGAAGAGACCCTTAATACTAAGGATCATGAAGAACATGGATTGTTCAGAATAAAGAGAAGGGGTCATGATGACGCCAACAACTGCAGAAAGAAACTGAGGCTCACAAAGGATCAATCTGAGTTGCTGGAAGAAAGCTTCAAGCTACATACCACCCTTAACCCTGTAATTTTCTTTCTCTCTCACACATGTTCTGAAAATTTCTTCTCTTTCATCCTTTTGTGTCATACGGATTCATGTATAATTATACATCCATATCATAATTATGAGATTAATATTTTCCAAGTTTCTGCCTGCAACTTTACCGCCTGGTTTCGATGATTCCTGCAGGCTCAGAAGCATTCTCTTGCGGAGAAATTGAATCTCAGACCTAGACAGGTCGAAGTTTGGTTTCAAAACAGAAGAGCAAGGTACGTACAGTGGCTTTGATAATCAATCTCTCATCTCTGGTTTTCATATATCTTCTTCGTCTGTCGATATCGCTTTTAGTCGTCTGATAAAAGTGTCATAATCCACGACGAGATTATTAATTGCGGAATTATTAAATGGTACTATATATATGCTCATTTACATTGATCAGGACCAAGTTGAAGCAGACAGAGATAGACTGCGAGTTCTTGAGGAAATGCTGCGAGAATCTGAGAGAAGAGAATCGAAGGTTGAAGAAAGAGTTGCAGGAGTTACGTGCACAGAAGATTGGGACGACGACGTCGCCGTTGTTCATTCAACTCTCAAAGACGACGGCGACGGCGGCGACGACGTGTTCGTCATGTCAGAAACCATTCAAAGCGAGTGACGCAAATAATAATAATAACAATAACAGTGGCAACCATAAATTGGAGAGAGTGGCCTTAGATTGCTACGTGGGATAAATATGGTGCCATATAGGTGTAGCGTTTTGGTGAAATGCCAAGTTCCGTAACAATTTGGGATGTTTGGGGGAATTAATGGGAATTATGGTATATATTTACTCAAATTTTATATGGGTTTGACCAAATATTAGACGAGGAATATGAGTCAGTGGGAAGAAAGAATATAATAAGTTTTTGAATGGTTGAAGTTGAAACTGACAAGAGGAAAAGAATTCCCCGAGTCAGTCATCCACTAATTAATTAGAAAGGTTAGAGAAGTTACAAATATGTGTGTGGATACAGAAGGAATGGTTTGTTATTTGTAATTGCCATCTTTCAAAAACCATTCGTTTCCTTTCACTTCTTCTCACCTTTTGTCTCTCTCAAGTTTTAACACTCTCGTCATGATTATATCTTTTAATTACTACTATTTTCGTTTTTAATTACAAGATTTTATTTGTAGACTATAGATAAGGTTTTATAATTAAGATTGGAGATAGTAACTACTATTTTCGTTTTTAATTATAAGACTTTATTTGTAAACTATAGATGAGGTTTTATAATTAAGACCGGAGGCAGTATTATGATTTACCAATTCCATGGTATAATGACTATAATCTTATTTACATGCGCGGCTACCAAAAAAAGAAAAAAGAAAGAGAACTGTTGTAATCCAAGTTATAATTTGAAATCATAATATTGAGATGTTAGCTTCAGTTTCAATCAAGCATAGTAAGGATTTATCCTAAAAACTTGTATGAAAAAAGGGAATTGTCCTAAAAAAAAAAAAAAAAACTATAGCTTGATTTGATACGGAAGCATATAGTTAGCCATAGATATTATATATATAATCCCACTTAGATAGAATTATAATTAATAGAGAAGTTGGTCTAATTTATCTTACCCTCGCATACACGGACACCGCAGCATTTGTTTATTTATTAATTTATTTTTGAAAGCTACTCAAATCTCTCATGATTAATTAATAAGAGGCTAATAGGGTAGTCTACCAAAGTATGCTATAATTAATGACAAGAGACAGCATATACGCTGGCGCCGTCATGGATAAAAATTAAAAAAGAAAGCGAGAAAATGCACATTTATGGTGCATATAAAACGTGAATGTATATGTACCACTCTATTTCTTATTATAAGTTACTTGTATCTCAAACCCACAAACAATAAATACATTAATTAACTTTTTTTTTTTCATATTTACTCTTATTAAAAGTTGAGAGAGAGAGAAGGTAGAGGATAGATTGCATAGGAAATGAAAAGTTGAGAGAGATGGAGAGGGAGATTAATTAATTTTTTATTAAATTAATAGGAATAAAATTGGAAAAAATCATTAATTATACTACAAGTAACTTATATTTTGAAACAAAATTTTAGAGTACAAGTGACCTATAATAAAAAACATAGTGGTATATTTAATTCGTTCCATGAAAATATCTTCTCATCAAACTTGGATCCTCAATCTTGTTTTGCAACATTATAATACAAAGAGAAATAAATAGAAATAATTCTTATAACATTCTAAATAAATAATAAGGATTTTAGGTGTAAATTCGCTTCAAAAATTTTTATTCAGAAATGCTGGACACCTGAAAATTTTTTAGGTGTAAATTTAATTCAAAAATCTAAAATCGTAGTAATTTTGCTCTCTTACTATTAAAAATATTAACAGTTAATGTCATTATTTTTTATTTTTTTAATAGTAAGGGATAAAATTATTATGATTTTAAACTTTTAAGGCAAATTTACATTTTAACCTAATAATATAATTTTAAAAAATCTTAATAATAAGTGAAACTCTATCGAACCTTTAAAGGTAACTATAAGATCTAAAAAAAGAATGCAATTATTGAAAAATCTCAATGATAAATGAGATATAGTCGAGCACAATAGAGGAATAATGATACAAATTTAAACTCAAAAACTTGTATTTAAACTGTTAAAATTTATTCCATTAAGACCAACATTTATTATTAGTGCATCTAATGTTCAGGTCAAACTCTCTTCGGTACAAATGGGAAAATATCTTTTTGTATAAAAATGGTGGTGTAAACACTACAATTTTTTTAAAATATGTTTCATGGAATATAACGCGTGAGGCACACATTAAATGATTATTTTTTTTCTGTGCCAACTATAAATGATTACTCATATTATGAATTACGCACCTTTTTATGAATATAATTTTTTCAACCTACTATTGTGTATTGATTTGGCTGATGTTGTCTGTTTCGATTTAATTCAATTATTAAAAGGAGCTTATTTATTTATTACGCGACATTGCACTGCATATATATTATTGATGAAGCAACTCCTTCAACGGTTTCAACAAAAACAACAAAGAAAAGAAAACAAGAATGTAATTTTTGTTTCAAATTTGATGGCAATATAATCATTCTTTTGCAATTTCATTCATAGGGTTTTCAAAGATTCCAATTTTAACCTCAATTGATTTGTTGTATTAGGAAATTGAAAAAAAGAAATTAGTGGTGTATTTAATTAATTAAAGACCTAAATAACTTGGCGTATTTTACCCGCCTATAATTAAGAAAAATAATGACCATAACAACTATGATATTGACTTGTGCATTATAAACAGTAGTAGTTTCAATTTCAACCTCCCACCATAATCAACTACTAGTACTTCTTATTGTCTTTTTTATACCAATGCATGGGTCGGCGAGCCTTCAAATTTGAAAAAATAGTAAAAAAAACCTCCAATATGTGAATTTGCAATTTGGAACTCTTAATTTAGAAAATGACAAATAAAGACTCGATTCTATATTGTAAAATGAAATTTTGGTGAAATGTCTGAAATGCCCTTCGGTCAAATGACAAGTTCACTTTAGCGAATAATAATTTCAGTAAACCAAATCATAACTTGGCTAAGGTATGCCAAATGACAAGTTGATTATCAGAAATGACGAGTTCACTTTAACAAATGACAATTTCAATAGACCAAATCACAACTTGGCTGAGGGGTATTTCAGATATTTCACTAAGATTTCATATTTGCAATGTGAGACCGGCTCGTTATTTGCCATTTTTCAAATTAGGGGTCCTCAAATCGCAATTTCATATATTTGGGGGGTCTTTATTTGTCATTTTCCCTTGAAATTTTCATATCCCATGATTAAGGCCACTTTTTTTTAATTATTTAATGAAATTTTGATATAGGCCACTTCAATTATATAATCCTGTTTTTAATTCTTGGAATATCTTTATGGTTATGAATGTGATCAATATTATCTATCTCCTTTTCTTTCATATTTTGAAGTACAATAAGTACAAATTAATGTTATATATTCTTGATTTTCAAGATAATTTTTTGACTGAAACCCATAGTAAATTACACTATTTTTTAAATTACTTAGTTGATAAAACAATAAACTATATATAGTACAAGAAATTACTTATGTACAAAATCACGAAAAACAAAAATAATTTCTTTTCGTGGGGCACGTGATGCTCCCATGACCTATGTTGTAGGTCAGTGTGTTCATATTCACATAAAATATGAAATTTAAGAGGTTTCTTGTTAAGTTGAAAAAGTCAAATATTTGGATATATAATTGAACGTTTAATAGAGTTTTATATTCAACCAATGACAAAATATTAATTAAGGTCCAGTGTAACTAAACTTTCAAGAAAATTTTATAATTTATTCTGAGATCTAATCATCAAGCGATGAGCATAACCTTTTCTATATTGACAACAGATGAATTCAATAAAGGAGAAAACTTGGTTTTCTATGACAAATTCAAACAAATAATCAACCAGCAAACAGTGAAGTCAAATTTATTTATTTTGGGTAATTTTTAAATCAATGGAGTGATAGGGTCTTCTTCTAATAAGATGATGTCAGATGCATAATACTTTCGACTCAAGCAAAAGAATAACACTTTAAAAAGAAGAGGTTGAAAGGTATATTTAGATTATTCTTTTTGGAAATATATATATATATATATATTTCCCTCAATCATATATGATCGAGGACACGGCGACAAAGACCATCTTGAACATTTTTTTTTTATAAAAAAAATATGTGGGCTTAAATAAATTAACTTAATTCCTTTTATCGGAAATGTTCTTTTTTTTTTTCAATAACTTATTATGAGTTCAATTAAGTTCAATGATCATATTATGAGCAATAACAAAAATTGAAAGAATAACACTTATTTTTGCAAGAATTGTTTATCCTTTAGGACAAGTCGAGAATTATTTTTTTGGGGTGAAAATTCGAGACTTTTTTTTTAATACAATTGGTTGTGGATGGAAAAGTGGAGGGAGGGAAGAAAAAAATGGAAAATGAGATGATTATTCAGTAAATTACGTTTTATTTTCTTAAAATAAACTAAGAAACTAATAAAAATTATGTTAATATACTACTTCCAATTCTTAATATAGAGTTAGATAACTACTTTAGGAAGATTAAGTGAATTAATTAAGTAATTATTGGTAACAAATGTATATTGGCTTTTCTAAATTATCCTTATTCAATCATGTATATTTAAACTACACTTAGGTGAAAACAACTTACAATCATAGGAATATTTTTTAAAACACATTATAAATTTATAAAACAAACTAGATTATGATCTTATAATTAGGACTGTCGACTAGCTCTTGTATTTAGATCGGAAATGGTATATAATCAATTAATTGCCATATGGTGTTCATTTTTTAAGTATCAATGATGAGAACGGTAATTTAAATTTTATATAACCAGTATGTTGAAAACATGTATTGATTACATCCAGAAATTTGTATTAAGACCTATATTTAATTAGGAAAAAAATTGAAAATTGGGATGTAAAATAGATGGATGGCTGCACTGATTTGCATGATTGGATTGACTTGTGTGGAAATAGTCAAATAGAGAATAGTTAATTGGCGTGGAACAAGTTAGATATGGAAAAGGAGATAGAAGGGTAAAGAACAAGTTAATAAAGTTCAACCTTATTTCTTGTCAAAGTATAATATCTATTCTAATAATCTGAAAGCACCATTTTGCTCGGCGAGCTATGGTCATCCTATATACACGGCCCCACCAAGACCATCACATAACA